GCCTGTTGGGACCCATGTGGCTTAGTGTTTACACTAATCAACACAGGAAAGAAGGAGCATTGATAAAAATTCACTGGTGGTGTGAAGCTAAGAGACCAAACTGATACAGTGGAAGCTAAGATTTAATACTGTAAGATGTAGATGTTCCTGAGGCCTGGAGCAGTGTAACACAAAATTAAATCCACAGCTTCTCTGGGCAACCTGTTCCAGTGCCTCGCCACACTCACAGTAAAAAATGTCTTCCTAATATCTAATCTAAATCTGCCCTCTTTCAGCTTAAAACTGTTACCCCTCTTCCTGTCACTGCCCTCCCTGATCAAGAGTCCTTCCCCATCTCTACTGTAGCCCCCTTTAAGCACTGGTAGGCTGCTGTAAGGTCCCTCAGAGCCTTCTCTTCTTTAGGCTGAACAACCCCAGCTCTCTCAGCCTGTCTTTATATGCTCCAGCCCTCTGATCATCTTTGTGGCCCTCCTCTGAACTCTCTCCAACAGGTCCATATCTTTTTTATGCTGGGGGCCCCAGAGCTGGACACAGTGCTCCAGGTGGGTCTCACAAGAACGGAGTAGAGGGGGAGAATCACCTCCCTGGACCTGCTGGTCACGCTGCTTTTGATGCAGCCCAGGACTGGCTTTTTTGATGCAGCCCAGGACACCATTGGCTTTCTGGGCTGTAAGCGCACACTGCCGGCTCATGTTCAGCTTCTCATCAACCAACACCCCCCAAGTCCTTCTCTTCAGGGCTGCTCTCGATCCATTCTCCACCCAGCCTGTATTTGTGCCTGAGATTGAACCACTTAGTTGTTGTAAAAACACAAACGCAATCCCAGGATGCATCAGAAGTAATTCTAACAGAGATACACAGCCTTATGGAAAATGTTAATGCATCAAAACCCTGCTGGGTTCTCCTCTGTAGTGCTGCAGTTATAGCCACCCACAATCAAAAAAGGTAAACTTTGTGGTGGTGTGGAGACAGACTGAAACCTTGTCTTGCAAACAGGAAGTTAAATATCTGGATGTTTTTATTTTTGCAAAATGAAGGCTGGGAGCAGGGAGGGCATGATTGTTATTTTCATGGTTGCCTGATGCTCTTTCAAACAGCAGATGGGCAAACCTGTGCTGAAGTTAACAGCCATGCTGTCACATGCACAAAAGGTAAACAACCTGTCAGTGCTTTATTGTTGGCTGGAAGTTGAGAGGTTCACAACTATTAGGAGAAGGAGGTTTTTGGATGGTATTCTGAAATCAGCAGAGCGTGCTTGTGTGTATCCCAGCGACAGCCAAGTCACTGCTGTCCAGAGCGAGGTCTGCACTGTGCCCATTAGAGTAAGAAATGAAATTATGTAGGCAGAGGGAGAGCAGTGGGGGGCATGTTGTGCATCTGTGGGGCTGGGCTAGACTGGGCTCAGCTGTGATGTTCCTCCAGCTCACCACATGGGTTTGCAGAGCCTCGTGGCTTATCAGCACTCAAATCCATCTTTAGGTGGGCCCCCACTTTGCTGGGCTCTGTCTTTGTGTCAGTCTTGCTGAGCACTGTTTTGTGTCCCCTCAGCTGACTGGGGCCACAGTGTAGTCAGATCAAGTGTTTCTGCATCTTTGGTGCTGAGTTAATAATTTCCCCAGACCTCTGGGGATCCTACAGAGAGCTGAGACCAGTGTGGAGTTTGCGGGGGTCTGGCACACCCAGGGGGCTCCCATGTGAGACTAATAAGGCTGATCTGATCCTGGGAGCACAAATGGGGAGTGCTGGTCCTGTGTCTTCTGGCACTTGTGCAAGGAGATTGTTGAGGCTCCAGAAGTGAAGCCAAGCAGAGTCTGGCAAGGACTGTGAATTTGAGCTGAAAGCTGCATAAAAGCAGCTACAGCTGTTCCTGGTGAAGAGCTGGCCCCTGAAGCCAGAGTGCTGCATCCACATGATGCTGCTTTTTGTAGCAGCCCTGGGTCTGAGCTATTCCTGTTTGTGTAGCGTGGATAATCCATGGCACCTGGGTGTGCTATCTACAGAGCTTCAACTGTTGGTCTAGGTTGGTTTGATGTATATTTGAAAGGATTTATAGGACATCTGCAGTTGCAGATTAATTAACTTAGCAAGCTTCAAGGTCTTTCCAGGTATCCTCTCCTGCCCCTTCTGCTCTCCCCACCAAATCCTTCTGCACAGTGGATACTGGGGTCTGAATATCTCTTTATATGGGGTAGAGAATTTTTACTTTCATACTTTTTTTTTGTTTTCAGGCTGGTAAATAACAGAATTGTTGACAATTTTTGTTTGAGGTTTTTTTTCCCCCCCACTCTTTAAGACTTCTGACTTTATCTCCCCTGTACCCCTTTACCTATGTATCTTTTATAAGATGACTATGGCTCTTCTCCTCCAAAAGATTAAGTTAGGAAAAAACCTGGAAATAGAATGAAGGAAAGAAACTGATAGTCTAATGCTCTTGAGCATTCAGTTGAGCCACTATGCTAAGAAAGAGTTAAATCACTGTTTTCCTTAACTTGCATTTACAAGAATTTGGCCTTAGGCAATTAGTTGCTCTTTGACAATGGTTTTGTTGATAAACTGCCATCCTCTCTAGTATTTCAAAAGATTTTTACATTAATATTATATCTGCCCTACGGGTTATTCTGACAAAAGGAAATTTACCATCTTAGACAAAAGTCTTTCAGTGGGTTGTCTCTTTTTTTAATCCTTCCTCTTCTGTAGGGAGAGGCTTAATCAAGTTATACCTAGCCTGTGTCTCCCTAACAAGTGTGTTAAATATCTATCTTCCAAGGTAATCTTGAATAACACACAGATAGCTAATAAGAGCAAAAAATGTTCTTTCTTTAATAATAAGAGAGCTAATTTGTATCTGAATGCACTGCAGATAATCTTGTCCCTGAGCTCCAGGAGAGCCTCTTCTCTTCTGGCCAACGAGGTATACTGAATTCCTCTTGGACTCTTCATTTCTCTCATCTGCAGAGCCTGACAGGTGCAACTGCCTCCATCTGTGTGAATTTCAGTTGTAGCCTGTCTCCGCTGTTCTAAGCAGTGATAAAGAATTTGAACCTAAATTTGTGGTGACATTTTGCACTAATCTTGTGCAACTAGAAGTGCCAAGCTCAGTGTTAAATCAAGAATTTGACTTGCACAAATGAATCGTCTTTTCTAAATACCCTCAGGCTATGCTGTGTTTTAAGTTGTAAGAGGGTGAGTACCAGATTTTAAAAGAAAGGTCATTATTAATATGTTACTCTTTGTTTTAGCCAGTATTGTTTAATCTCTGTAAAATAACGTACTATTAAAAATACTATAGTGGAAAAACGTGACACATTGCTGGTTTGGAATAATTATCTGAATGTTTGTGTCAAACTAGTGGCAACACAGATCTTTAGCTTTTCTCAGCAATGCAATTAAGCAGTGCACATTTGTTAAAATAACTGTCGTTTCTAATTTAGCTACTGGGAAGTGATTTCCTTTGTTCTTTGATACTTGATCTGAGGCAAGTTTTCTACTGTTGTCAGTGGATGCACTCAGTGTTCTCGTTCAAAGGAGCTGTATTTGTTCTTAGAAGGGAGACAACTGTTTTTGATCTTCTCAGGTTTTGTTCCTTTGATACTGGCCTTAATATAATGAAGGTTGAGCCATTTAATATTCTAAATAAGGAGAATCTTTATGCATGTGTTAGTTTTACATTGCTCAATTATTACAATTTCTGTTCAGGAATTATTGTTTGAGCCTGTGGGCGTTTTTTGCATTAGCTTTCAGTTCTATTTCGACTGTCATAGGAAAATTCACTCCGGCGCAGTGTAAACCTATTTATCAGCTCAAAAGTGACACAGAATTAAAGTAAAATGGATTCTTGGTCTCAGAAGGTTGACTTGAGCACACTAAAAGTGGAAAAAGAGTTACTTTTATATCTTTTAAGTCTGGGAACTTGGTAAATTTGATAAACGGATATCTGTTTCATCAAACAAAAAAAAACATTCAAACTGTTAAGTTGCAAGAAATCAAATTGCAGTGTGTTAAGAGGAAAAACAAAAGGTTTTGACAAATGAAGCCGCGTGTGTTGTGAAATCTTCAAAGTGAGTATCACATACATAGTAGAATACTTTTAACTAGCTTATTTTCTGGTACATGGATTCATTGACCAAGTTAAGTTTGAGCAGTGATGTGACAAGTGATGTTACAGCTCAGGGGTAGTTCTTTCTCTGGCTAGGAGTTACTGAATATATTATATGATTTGGTCACCGTAGATTTTTCCTGTAATTGTCACTGCTGTCTGAATCATTGGCGTGTCTTAGGATCATGACTGCTGTGTTCAAAGATAGTGCTTTGTTGTGTTTTCAGAGCTGGGGTGGTATTCCACAGAGTTTCACACAACTCTGATAAAATCCTCTATGGTCAGAAATGCTTCTATCAAATAGCCTAGAATATTCAACACATTTTTTCATTAGACTGATGATTGGCAGTCTTGTGTTTTGTCTAGCTGTAGAAGAAAGACCTTGAATGTCAAGAATTCATTTCCAAACTTTATGCAGAACTGCTTTATATCTTTGGTAGATGAAAATAGTTACAGGTTTTTCCTCTCTCATTCTTTTCTGACTGCAGTAAGACAGAATGTGTTTCTGCAGTCTGTGTAGTAGGGGTATTTCAAATTCAGAGAAGGGTGGAGACCTTGGCTTGAGGTTGTTCCTGCTCACAACCTTGATTATTTCTCGATCTTTGCATGTTCTAATATGGTTCTGTGGGCAAGAGACTATTTTGGAGTCTACATTGCTTCTGCTGTCACTGAAATTGTCTGCTTTCTCTTGCCTTTTTAGATGTCCAAGTTTGACTTGAGCTGTTAAATTATAATTTTGTGGGAGTAAGTCTAAAGTTTTAATAATTTCCATAATTTTCAGAATTATTTTCATAATTTTTTAGATGTGTTAGGGAATGCGAACCATAGATTACACATTCATGCAGTCTGAGTAATAATCTTACTCTTAATTGAAGAAATATTTACAAGCATTCCCTTGGTATTAATGGGAAGTCTTGTCTCATGTTTGTCTTTTGAAAGAAATAACAAAAGTAATTGTTTAAAGTTCTTAATTTTAGAGCTCAATATTGATTGCATCAAATGCGATTAGAGATTTAATACTGTAGTGCTAATTCACATCTATTCTTCTACTCCAGTCCTATTTCAACTACGTGCATTTTTGTTTGAAACTCTGAGTTCCCTCTGTCTGCTGTGATTGTCAAATCCCTGCTCAAAAAATATCAGAGCTCCAAATGCACAACTGATTATTATATTACTTTGGGCTTGTGATTTTAATTGCATTAACAATGGATATTAATTACTGAAGAAGTTGAAGAGTGATTAAAAAATTACCATTTCATTGATATAAATTAGTGAAATATTGGGGTCTTTGTCATCGGTGCTTTTTGAAATTAAACTCCTGTGTCAGCAGCTTTGGAGGCTGACGTTAGTTCTTGTGGGTTTGGGGCCTGATTTAACCATGGCTAAACAGCAGGACAGTGCTGGTTTTGCTGTGTGGGATGGCTTTTAAAAGTCTCCAAGGGCTTTTCTGGTCTTCTGAAGCTAGAAAATTATTGTCATACTGTGGGGGGAAAACTCCTGTAGGGCACCTAATATACTAGTTGCAGTCATGTATTCCTTAAATCCAGGTGACTTCCCATCCAACAAACTAGCTAATGTGTTTGACCAAGCCACTCAGCTACTCTGTAAGTAATTTTCTGTGGTGGAAAATAACCTAATTTTCCTTGAAAAGGAACACCTGCAGGCTTGCGGAGTGCTCAGATGCCCCAACAGAGATGTGCTTGTGTTTGTCACATCTATAGACAGTGTTACAGTTGGAGTTGTTAGGAGCTGCTACTTCTTTCCATTCTTCAGGGCAATAGTATGCAGTTGGAGTGATTTGAATAAATTAATAATTCAGGTTAGTGTATTAATTTGTGATGACATATAATTTCAGATGATATTCCTCAGCAAAGCTTTTGACACTTTTTTCCTGCAATATCCTTGTGTTTTAGCTGAGCTGTTATGGTTCGGATGGGTGGGCAGCTAAGTGGATAAAAGAACCAGTTGGAGGGTTCGCCTCAGAGGGTTGTGGTTAGTGGGTCATATTCTACCTGCTGGCCAATAGGACACAAAATTAAGGAAGGAGAAGTGCCAAGTCCTGCGCTGGGGGAAAGAAGAGTCCCTGGTAGGGATACAGACAGGGAGCAGCTTTGTGGGAAAGGCCCTGGGCATGCTGGCAGACAGCCAGGTGCCAAGAGAGGTTGTGGCATCTCCATCCTTGGAGGATTTCAAGACTGGACTAGGCAAAACCCTGAGCAACCTGGGCTGACCTCGTGGCTGAGCCAGCTTTGAGTCAGAGGTTGGACTTAAAGACTTCTTGAGGTCCCCTTCAACCTGAAATACCTTATCCTGAGATTCTGTGACTACTTACTTATTCAATTTCAGATTTTAATTTGAAATTTTCCTTGTTATTTAATTTGCATGTCTAAAATGTTACATGCTCAGTCTGTTCTATCACAAATTCAACTAATGCTTACTCTGTGTGTGTGTTTGTATTTTAGTGTTCTGTTTAAAAAAAAAAAAAAAATCTCAGCCTTTACCAAGCTCGCATTTCAGAAATAATTGTTATATCACAAGCATTATATGCATCCCTGTGCTTATTACTGGTTTCTTTTTGCTCATTTCTTGTGTAAACTTGCTATATGATTAATACGCTTTTTTTCTTTCAACAGAGGGAGAATATATCAAGATGTTCATGCGGGGTCGACCAATCACAATGTTCATTCCTTCTCATGTAGAAAACTACGATGATATTAGGACAGAACTGCCTCCTGAGAAGTTAAAACTGGAGTGGGTGTATCCTTGATATCAGTAACTACTTGTGGTTCCCTTTTTGTCTTGTCTTGCCTTTCTTTTTTCCTTTAGAATCTGGTCTTATGTCTTCTCTGTTCAGAGATTAAAATTACTTAAAATAGAGAAAAAAGTTCAATTTAATGTAACAAGTGAAAGGGTTTTTAGCTACTTCATAGTATGGCTTTAAGCTGCAAAATACATAGGCACAGAAAAGCCATACTTCTTCTTTGTTTGTTTTGCTGTTGAAACTAATCACAATTTATTTTTAGTGTGAAAGGAAGTGTCTTCAGAGAGTTACTGCATTTGAAAAAATCTCCCACTCCACCCCTCCACTACACTAATGTAGGCTTTGCATTCAGGAACATTGCCATTTTTCAGTCTCTGTTCATTTTTGGGAGGTTTTAGAGCTATGGAAGATGCTGAACAAGATACAGAATTTCTCGTTGTCCTTACCTACAGAGTGAGGCCTGCAGAAGCAAGTGGCGCAAGGTTCTTTGCGCTGCTTCTGTATTTCAGCTCCAAAGTGAACAGGCTCACTTCTTGGAGAGCAATAGGCGTTAAATATGTTTATTATGTGAAGAATGGAGTTAATTCATGCATGGCTGACAACAGTTCTCTGGACTTAGTAGATCAGATACGTGCTTCTGCACACATTTGGGTGTTCCTGTCACCCCCCACCAATCTCTAGATTTCTTCCAGTAAGCTGTGATTGTATAAGGAAGTTTCTTAGTACTTCAGTAAAATAACATGTCTAGGCAGCACTTCAGCTGGTATAATAATCTCAAGTTTGATCCTTCTGATGTTGCTGAAAGCATAAAGATTTTTAGGAATGTTGATGGTACACTGTCGTATGTTGGGATATGTACAGACAGAGGCTCCCTGTACCTCAGTATATCTGTTAGTGACTAAGGCGTACATATATTTTAAGCCACCCCTTGTTACTCGCTTTAGGAAAGAAGATTTCTCTATGATTTTTCCTGCTTTAACTAATAGATGTTTGAAGCGGGTAATGTTCGATACTTAGTTATGAAGAGCACCTGTGGCGCTCATGTCCTCTGAACTTTCTAGTGAGACTGTGGAATTTTAGAGCATAAAGGAGGAAAGTTTTGGGATCAAAAGTCTGACTGGAAGTAAAATTGATCTCTTATTCAGGCTTTGCAAGCTGTGGTGCCCAGCTTTCATACTGTTGCAGCCATTGGGTGCTGATGCTGGCACTCATGTGACTGTGGAGTGAATTGGGTCAGTCACTGATCTGGCTGCAATGTAATCTTTTTTTGCAGAGTTAACTTTTGGCAGGGTCAACTCATTAATTTCATTTGCCCCACAAACATGTAAAGGCCAGAACTGGCATACTGGAGGAAGATCAGATCTACATTTTCAGCAGCAGTGAAGAGTTTGGACTGGTGAAAACTGATCATGAAATCACACCCTCAGTTAAGTAGGTGCAAATCCCAGTGTGGACACACTTATTTAATGTCCAAAGACCTTAAGTTCAGATTGAACTGGTTTCCTGCTG